CTTGCCAAATGGGTTTTCGGTTATTCCGGTTTCTCGGATTTATTGCGCCAAAGCTCCCATAACTAGATAGTATGACCAAGATTATAGATTTTTAGATCCAACCGATAATTGACAACTGTAAACCATAGTACAGGCTATTTTTCAAAATTTGTCATCCATGGGATTTGAACTCTAGACCTGCTACTTGGAGAGGGTGACGACTAGACTACTACACTAAGTCACCACACCTCAATAGTAATATAATTATACTATATATTATATATATATTATATATATATATTATATATAATACATAAGTGTAATATAAGAATTTGCCTAACCTCCACCCACTAGGATATTACGTAATATCTGTCACTCCCCTAATTGCAAGCATTCGTAATTTTTTTTCATATAACTTTTGTCATTTTACTTATTATTTTAGTTAAAAAATATGTGATTACACATAATATTTATTAATAAATTATCTTAACGGAAAAACTTAATAAATAAATTCTAATAGATAAACTTAAATTCTAAGAATTTAAGAATTATTTACAATTTAATGAATTATCAAATCCATAAAATACGAATTTGGTAAATTAAATTAATTTAATGAACTGCCTGATTTGTATTTTACAAATTTGGTATAAATAAAAATCTTGTAATCATTAAATTAATTATAAATAATTAAATAAAAATTTATTTATTTTAAAGAAAAATAAAAAAAAATGAGAAACACTCACGAAATTTGCAACTACTTTCATAAAAATACCCTTAAAACAAGACTTATTTGTAATATTTGTGAAGCAAATTATTTTTTTAATACAAATTTATCAAATCTTAAAAGACATTTTGCTAAATATCACAAAAAAAAATATAATTTAGCTATATCTAAAAATGAAAAATGAAAAAAACAAATTAAAGAAATTAATCAAATTCAATATAAAGAAAATTCTAATAATTTAACAAAACAGAATAATGAAACTTCAATTATTCAAACACCAATACTAGCTCAAATTAAAAATTTTATTGAAGATAATTATATAACTGAAGAAGAAATCGAAGAAGATATTATTAGCAGAAAAACTTTACCAGTTGTTCAAAAAGAAGAAAAAATTATTAAAAAACAAAAAATTAATACTATTAAATTAGATATTAAAGATAGTATTATTAATTTTAATATCTAAGATGAAATTAGGTTTCGTATTATAGGAAAATATACTTTGAATTTTAATTAATTCTTTTATTTTTCTAATAAAAATTTTATATATTATCTTTCTGTTTAAAATTCACTAAACTGTTTGAGATTTGTCCAATCATTATTTATTCAAGTTGAATACTTTTTGCAAATATCTGAATACATTTTGCAAAAAACTGAATACTTTAAGATTTGTCCAATTATTGTTTAATAAAGTTAAATACTTTTTGCAAATATCTAAATATGTTTTGCAAAAAACTAAATACTTTAAGATTCATCCAATTATCGTTTAATAAAGTTGAATACTTTTTGCAAATATTTGAATACATTTTGCAAAAAACTAAATACTTTGAGATTCGTCCAATTATCGTTTAATAAAGTTGAATACTTTTTGCAAATATCTGAATACGTTTAAATATGTTTTGCAAAAACTGAATACTTTGAGATTCGTCCAATTGAATGAAATTAATCTGAGTAGGTTATTTATATATAATACAAAATTTATGAACCAATAAAAATAATTACTAAATAAATATAAATCAAATTTAGAAGAAATAGATAACAGAAAAACCTAAATTTGTATTACAAAAATAAATAAATTAAGAATTTAACTAAAATCGAATTTTAGAAACTTCTAACAAAACTAAATAAATATGTATGCTAAAACCCTTAATCGAAATTTAACATATCAAAATGCCTTATGAAAAAAAATATATCTTAAAACCACCACTTTCTGGTCATGAAAATTATCCAGGAAATAAATCTAAAAAAAAAAAATTGAATGAAAAAATTAAAAATCTCAAACAAAAAATTAAATTGTTAAAAAAAGAATTGAAAAAAGAAAAAAATGAAAAAAATGAAATCTCTTCATGGGCTTATTGGTGTGAAGACATGATTATTGAA